TGATAAGTTAAATTATTGGTCACCAGCACCTCCTATGTCACCTACTATGCTTGATTTTAACACCTTCACAACAAATATTCAGCTTCATGGGATACCAAACTGAAATTAAGTTCAACACAAATTTAGAGATGGATGGACCCGATATTTGGATTGGTGACAGCACGATCCAAAGCTATTAGATGGATCGGGTATCGGCCATATGTGACTGATCCATGTCTGATACTTACTTATTTAGTTTTCCGGAGTCTGTAAAAAGAGAGCTCCAATTTCTTGTTAAATCAATCTATACAATCAATCACACGAGAATTCTTTCCCATTTTAGATGCGTTTTCGCAGCATTCAAGCAGAAAGCTAATGCTGCCACTCAGTGGGTGTGAGTGCAGTGCCTTCTGCCTGCTGTTACGTCATGCGCATACCCTTTGCAGTAGGAGGTGTGTAAGAACATCAGATATGTGGATAACAATCCGGAAGTATTTTACGCTTTTAACAAATTGTAGCACAGCGATTTGCAATCTTTGTAAAAACAAAGCTTTGTGAGGTGGAAGTAGGATTTAGTGAAACATCCCACTAAACAAAGCTCATGCAATTGTGCGATACAACGCAAGTAACAGGAACAAAGCAATGGATGATTTAGGGGTCGCTAGCTTGGGCTGTTACATGCGCTCACTACAGTGTGAGATACACAAGGGGCTGCGTTTGTAATGAAGTTTAAGTCATGCTGGTGGCAGTGGGAGAAACACTGAGGGGCATTTTAAGCACTTGCCACTTGTGTATACTCTTGGAATATATCGAAATTTAAATGCGACATGCGTAAAAAACCCATAAAATACAATGTACAAATGAGGAGGAACAGTCTATTTTGTATGTGTGGAGTAACCTAATTAAAGAGTTTTTTTGGCATGCACATTGGTAGTGACAGTGACAGGGCTATCACAACTTACCAAAGAAGGGATCTGCTCCCAAGTTCTTTCTCAAGCACTCCACGACTGGGTGACCAAACGTGATGTTTGGCACAAAGTGGCTGAAAAACAAAATAACACACAGTTATAAAAATCCCTGATATGTGGAAATATTCAGTTTAATTCAATATATTTCATAGTGCCCTTCCCAGCATAGCTCAGCTAATATAATTTACCACACATTGACATCTCTGTTAAAGAACTTTCCTAAAGACCCAATTCACATGTTAAATTTTCTATTAAAAAACATCTCTGTAACAACTCCAACTTAATGAAAAGTCCAAGTGCTACGTTGTAACAATGGTTAATATAAACACATACCGCTACACATGTACTGTACTTATATGTGTCTTTTCCCAAAAGGTTGCATGTATACCTATAACACGCTCTACTTGCCAACCCAAACGATATTCAAAAAATAAATAATCATAAGTTAAAAAGTGAATTGAAAAGTGAAAAGTGAGATGGTGACATGGCGCTTTTACTTTACGGTACCTTAAATGTAGTTTATATGTTAAATATCGGCTCACTGCACTGCAAAGAAATAGACTATTCAGCCTATTAATATCCTGGGATTTGTAGGATTTGGGATCTGTATCTGAGGTGCATAATATTTACTACCTTAATGAAACGAACTTGAGTTAAAACCAAGGTTCTTACAAATGCTTCAGCACAGATACCTTAATTTATATATAGAACATTAGTTTCAAAATATAACTTAAAAGTAGAATTTTGGATACGAGCACCCGGAATCACGTGGTATGTTACTAAACTTTAAATATTTAGTGTGAAAATTAATATTATATTATAGCAAATTAAAGACCAAGTGGACGGGAGCGAGAGGATGTTGAGTTGACACACGATGTTTCGCTCGTCGCGCGAACAGGGCACCTTACTGCGCCGCTTTACGTCAGTCGTACATAGATGCACGCGAGACGCGCGCCACAAGCTGCGTTTTCTGCAATTAACACTGTAATCAATACATCGCACATGAGTGAAAAAAGAAGTGCACTGGTTACTCCAGAAAACCCGATCTTCACTATCTCTAGTTGCATGTTGGCATCTTCGTTTTTTTTTTAAATCAGTATAAGGCAATTCCCACGCAGTTTTAACGACAGTCAGAAACCTCACGCTCACCACTTCGTAATATCTGGCAAACCAGTTTAGTTCACCAGGTCAGATAGGTAGCTGTGCAGCAAAACATTTAATCGTTCCCCCCATGATATTTACCCGTCCATTACATCCAGATGAAGGTAGTCGGCACCACAGTCCAACATCCTTGTACACTCATGGCCGAGGCAGGCCAGGTCGCTGTTTAAAATGGATGGACCTATTTTAGCTACATAAGCCATTCTGCAAGTTCCCGTTCGCTGTGGGAATGCAGTCGCTCCGTTGACTTCTCGCCGCGTTGTCCTACACGGTCTAGAAAGGAAACACAAAAACGAAGAAACCAAAATGGCCGCGAGTGCACCCAAAAACAGTTACACTGTATACTTGTTTACGGCTTACGTATCACCTTCGTATCAGCACGGAAAAACTCCACCTCCCTGTGCCTTTCATATTCACTGGTCCAATACACCATCGTCTCCAGCGATGCATTCTTTTGTATTCATTTGTTGTTTGAGATTTATTACCTCAAGCTACAGCAAGACTCGCTCAGTTGCGGCGGTTTCTGTGGCTTCTTTTGACTCTGAAAATGTAAACACGGAAGTATGGAAACAATTCTGTTTCTGTTACAAAATAAACACTGCCAACTAGCTTTTAGGCGTGTCTGCAAATTCACAGGTACAACTAGAGATTTAAATTATACTTAAACAGCTCAGAAATATGGTACATCATAGTTTCAGGAGCAGCCCAAAACAGTCTAGGACCTCCAATATGAGCTGCTCCAAAGGGGATCATCTGTATTTCTGGTATGAGGCAGCGTTTCCCTTACCTTCAAACAGAGTCATGAGGACTATCTATTCCACTACTACAGAATGGGTGCAGACTGTAGCTAGACAGTGGAACATGCACACACTTATGAATATCATGTCTCTGGGGTTGAGGTCAGGGCTCTGTGCGGGCCAGTCAAGTACTTCCACACCAAACTCACACATCCATGTCTTTATGGACCAGTGCTTTGTGCACTGGGGCAGAGTCATGCTGGAACAGAAAAGGGCCTTCTCCAAACTGTTCCCACAATGTTGGAAGAACAGAACTGACCAAAATAGCTTGGTATGCTCAATATTAAGAGTACCTTTCACTGGAACTAAGGGATCTAGCCCAACCCCTGAAAAGCAACATCATACCATTATCCCTCCTCCCCCAAACTTTACAGTTGACACAATGCAATCAGGTAGGTAGTGTCCTCATGGCATCCACCAAACCCAGACTCATCTATCAGACTGTCAGACAGAGCAGTGTGATTCATTACTCCACAGGACACGTTTCCAATGCTCCGGAATCCAATGGCACCACTTCATTCGACACTTGGCATTGCGCTTGGTGATGTGAGGCTGGCATGCAGCTGCTTGGTCATGGAAGCTGCTCTCACTACTTACACCCCTACTACTTATTCTCATTGGCAGGATCTTTTAACTCAACTTGTCTTTGCAGTAGTAATGACATAACATTCCACATGATACCAGAAGGTGGCACTAAAACACTGCTGAAGTCAAATGAGTAGGTTTTCAAACTGCAGTCTTGGTCAAATGGTTAAATTTAAGAACTTCTCATTAGGTTGAAGAGCATTTCACAAACAGCTGGAATTAATTTCCTTTAAAAGTATGGTGTGTGATGATCATCAATAGAGATTCCTCATTTTCTACAGGGTTCATAGTTCTGATGGGAGTGGCTTGAATTGACATGGGAAATTCAAGGTCTGTGGACCCTGATTGCTGCAATTTTTAGCCATAATCAAGAGAGTGGATTGTGAATTGTAGGAGGAAACAGCCGAGGCACTGCAACCCACTCACAATCAACAGTCCAGTTTCAGATACCTAGGTGTCCACATCACGGAGGACCTGACATTGTACAAAAGGCATGTCAACACTGCCACTACCTCAGGATGCTAAAGTGCAGGCTGCCTCTCAAGATATTCAAAGCATTCTTCACGCATGTCCTCGACAGCATCCTAACCGGCAACGTCATCATCTATTTTGGGAGCTGCACCAAACAGAACAGCACCCTTGGGTTTATTTGCCTTAATATGCAGGTGACTTACAGGAGACAAAGCAAATTTAGAGATCAGTGGTCACTGTTGACACCACAGCACAGAGTGCACAACAACGAAATGTGTCCTCTGCATTTAACCCATATGTGACGTCGTGACATAGCAGCTAATTCATCTTTCAATTACAAGTGCGCTTCCCTAACCATTATCTATTAACCATTAATTAAACATTCTACTCGCCCCAACAATGGCCTCTTCTCTGCTGTGGTCAGATAGGCACTACTGCAGCCTGATGGTCAACACCAAGAGAGCGAGAACATGTTTCTACCCTCACGTAGATCTGTCCCTAGCATAATTCCTCACTTTTCATTTTACATCTTCCTGGTGTACACTGTCTCATGTAAATAGTTATCAGTGCCAGTATATATCATTGCTTTTCATATAATATTGACTTATTTTACTCTTTATTATTGACATTGCTGTTTTAATATTTTATCTTGTTCATATTTTTTCTTTGCATTACATATTTCTCTTTTGAGCACAATCCAGGAAGCAGGTGGGAAAAAGCATTTCACTACACGCATGAATAGTGCATGTTTCTGTATCTGACAAAAGAAAACCTGCTCTCACTCTGTCCTCCTCACATATAGAATAAACTTGCGTTATTCAGTTATCAATTATTTACTGCTGAGTAGAGCGACTTGAGCGCCCCCCAGCCCCCCCTGAAACATGCACAGACCTCCCAGACTTTGTCCAACCAAAAACAGAAAAGATTAAACAGTACTAAAGTAAGTATTAAATCAGTAACAAACTTTTAATATTTTAGTTTTAATAATTTAGTTTAATAGTGTCATATTAAAATATTAAAAGTAATAAACCCCACAGGCCAGTGCTGGTGAAAGTTTAATGCAGATAAAATTCTTTACATAAAAGACAACTATAGAGGATTAAAATTAAACATTAACAAAGTTCTTATGAAATTACAGCACCAACAGATAACTAGCTTCAGGGCTTAAGATTACCTTAATTGACCTGACAGACAGGCATACTGTAGATAGTAGGTTAATGCACATAAAATCAGTTACATACAAAGTAATAGCAGACGATTGTAGAATCACGAGGCTGCATCACCTGGCTAATTACCAGCTTCTGTGACACATGACTTCAGCTCACATCAGGCTTCCGAGCCAGAAAATAGTAATACTTCACCACCAAACCAACTTCTGTTTCCGGAGATGTGACTTTCATCACAGTTAGCAGTCTAGAAAGACAAAGAACACAAAGATACTGCATTTGTTCTCCACGAAAGTGAATACTCTGATTATTTTCATTGCTGATATTTAGTTAATGTATATGCCTTATTTAGAGAGACTAGTTAACATTTTTCACACTGTACCTACATATACAGCTATCGTCTGAAGCAATTCAAGATTAGAGGCGCCCCGCCCCCCCTTGAAGGTTAAGTTAATTTAATTTTCTATATAGCGCCAGATCACAACAGAAGTCATTTAAGGTTGCCTTTCCTATAGAACAGGTCTATACATTGTCGTTTTATTAAACAAACTAAATAGCCTTATGTTATTTATCTTATTTACACAACAGCTTGTCATTTTTCTCTTTACACGGTCGCGCGTTTACAATTCTCCTCCGCTCTCTGTATCGCGCATGGCGGAGTTCCGCCTCGATGCGCGCTCACAAACACGTGCGCGCACACACAGGTGAGCACACTCCCACCAGCGGAAAACGTCAACCACCTGAAAAGCAGACAAAAATATCTGCGTTTTTTTGACTGCTGTCATTAAAAGAAACACATGAACACCATGAATCCTGTCGGTGTCCGTCTGCCCGCCCCCCACCGTACAATAGTGCAGTGAAAACAAGTAATGCTTAGAAACTGCAATTTACATAAAGTGCATGTGCAATTAATTGAACTACTGGAAATATAGATGGGGATGGGGAAGAATCTGTTCACCAAAGTTAGCATTCTGATGGTGAAAGACTTCCTACTAGACTCAAGATTAAGTACATTTTGATTACAATTCCATATCTTTAACCATTTTATCAGATACGTTTTTATGCATTTTATTGTAATTGTTTTCAGAAATGTTATTTGTAACACTGGACAGAGTAATTTGTTACGGAGTGTGGAATGGAATCCAGTCTTTACATGTATGATTTTCACACAACCAAATAGATATACAGGGTATGTCTTTGACGCACCTGTTACATAATGCAGTTAGTGGAAGTTAGGTATGACCTGGGGTTCAGCAGCCAACAGGTTAGGTCTGTTCAGCACAGATGAGTTCAGCCCCACAAAAAAAGGGGGGGGGGCATTCAGTTCCCACCTGCCTGTGACATCCTGGGACAGTCTCCTGGCCTCCTCTGGGTTCTTCTGAAGGAGGGTCTGGTAGCTGGAGAAGGACTCCACCATGCCAATGTAGCTGGATACTGGTACTGAATGCTTAACAGATATACAGTCATGCCTGGAAATCCCAGCAAGATTAAAACGGTCAATGTGGAGATGTTTGATAAGAATAAAGGTAAATTTCTCTCTATCCTCACTTCCCAACAACTTATACAAGATAACCTTATGTGTTGTGGATTCCAGAAATCATCATATTTACAATATATCCCTTACTACATGGTAGGCATCTAATTTCTAAAATATTTTAAGCAATTTTAATTAATCAGTGCTTAAAATTTTACCATTGTGGTTGTGGGCACAAGGTAAGGAACATCCCAGTATATGGGCCACCAACCCATCGCAGGGCACAATCACACACAATTCAATAAAAATACAGAACATTGTAACATCAAACCTCTGTTTGAAAGTCATACTTACCATTCCTTCTCTGGGTACGGGATGGAGTCAAACATTTCTTTGTAGAGAATGGTTGAATCAGGACCCAAGACAGCAGAGCGATATGGCCGAAGAGCAGAGTGAAACTGCAGGGTGATAAGGCATAATTTATTGCTAAAATATCTTGAAGTAATATTCAGAAAAATGGTTATTATTGACTCATCAAACGTATGCAAGGCATTTGGAGTTTGAAAGGGAGTAACTAGGGGTGCGATATTGTGATATTACAACATGAGATTTCTCGTCGTAGCAGAAATCGGTTTCGCGAATGCGCTGCAAATTAGCAGCTGGAAGTATGTCGGCGTCTGACTAAATTACCATAGTAGATGCCCCAGACACTTTTAAATCTTTTGTGTGGCAGCGTTTTGGGTACCCGGCGGAAAACATAAACGGCGAAAGGGTGACAGACAAAACACGAACCATCTGTAAGCATTGTAGGAAAATAATGCCGTACACAGCGGCTAACGCTACTACTATACAAAGCCATTTGCAGCACCATCATAGCTCTTTACTTAAATCCACTGCACCGGTGAAAAAAAACATTAAAAAGCCAGACAACGGTTACAAATGTGTTTGCACCCCAGCTTCCACAGTCAAGTGCTAGAGCCACTTCAATAACGAAGGATATCGGCGTTTTCATTGCAGCCGACATGAGACCATTTTCTGTAGTAGAAAATCCGGGGTTTCGGCGACTCAACACATTAGAACCGAAGCATTTTTTGGCTTTCAAATTAATCAAATAAATGGCTGCTTTCCAGTAATATATTTCCTCTTTGAAGTTTTCCTTAAAATATTGCTAAAATCTCATCTCGTTCTCGTGAACCCAATATCGTGTCTCGTCTTGTGGGTTGAGTATATCGTTACACCCCTATTAGTAACTGTTGCTATCTGAATCGCATTGACTATCAGTAGACCCTATTTTAAGAGCACTGTTGGACGGTATGGTTTTGTGCAGGCAGACATTGCCAGTGTTGTACGGTGATGCCCACTGCTCATATGCTGAACAGTGTGTTCCACCATGGCTACGTACATCGCCATGTAAACAAGGTGTTCCCCACAGGGATCCTCCTGACCTCTCTGCAGATGTGGTTGAGCTCCTGGGAACAGTCCCTGTACTGAAGTTCCATGTCCAGGGTGTAGTTGAGAAGGGCCAAGCTCCCTCCTGGCCTCAGCACACGGAACGCCTCCGCAAGGAAACGTGGCCGGTCAAACCAGTGGGCAGCTGACATGGCCGTCACCAGGTCCGCTGAGCCGTCCTCTAAGGGCAGTTCCTCAGCTGGACACTGCCTGTGTCCAAAAGTTCAAAGCCATGACCACCCATAGGTGAAACATCTACTGTCAAGCACACACATTACAATCCAACAGAACACTTAACAGCTGTGTCTCAATTCTACTCATTTTATAAACTCTACATCCTAGCCCAAGATAAACACCATTTGCTGGTACTTGGGTTCTCTCAGCTTATGAGGGCAGTTTCAGCCTAGAATATTTCTGATACCCTGGCCTCAGGCACACAAAGATCCCATTGAGATCTACCAAGCTTGAATTCCTGGCCTGATTCTATACCTGCAGTCTGCGAGTGACCATATCCTACCCTGTACTCTGTGAAATAAGAGAACTCACACTTCTCCCCCCTATGGCTGCTTAGAGAAAGCAAAAGTATGAGATGTTTTTACATGCAAGTTGTCCTCTACGTAAACTATTCCTTTTTCTGTGATGAAAACAAAAAGTAGTAATGAGGCAATGAGATGATAATGAATAGGGCAGAATGTAATTACTCATACAGATGTTAAGTTAAACTAGGCAGAGACTAATAGAGTATACTCATACTATGGATCCGCTATCTGATTAGAACTATAGTTTTACCAGTCTTAGACTCTGCTCTTAAATATTAATTTACCAGACGTGGTATGTCAAACGTTTAAACCTGGGTGGAGGACATTTAATGCCCGCCCAATTCTACTCTACTTAAAGTGTTTATGACCTGTAGGAGATGTTGGAGGCATTGGCACATGCACGGGCCATCTGCAGCTGAGCAGGGCTGACGTCCATCCCGACCACCTGGTGGAAATGCGGGCCGAGGCAAATCGTACCCTGGCCAGACCCACAGCCCACGTCCGCAGCCAAGCCAAAGGGTCGCGCTTTCTGTTAAACAGCCAGGCCCAAGAACATAGTCAGGATCTTTAGCTTATAGTTTTAGCCAGGCAGAAATATAGATTAAAATTTCACTTATACAATTCGTCAGTATGTCAATTCAATTCAATTTTATTTATATAGCGCTTTTAACAACAGTCATTGTCACAAAGCACTTTACATATAACCAGTCCGAACCTCCACCAAGCAAGCCTGAGGTGACAGTGGCAAGGAAATACTCCCTCCAGCAGGAAGTAACCTTGAGAGGAACCTAGACTGGGAAGGGGACCCCATCCTCCTCTGGGCGACCGGGTATTTGCAATTCAGTTTGAATATCCACGAGAGTATATGCAAGTTGTGAATGCTTACAATGCCCCACAGTTTTTCTCCCACTGGAAACCGGAAACTTTGTTGCAATAGTAGCCCCTTGTGTATCACAAACAGAAAAACATCCTCCGAGAACGACTTCTCCCAACCATCCAAGAAAAGTTTGGTGACAAACAATGCCTTTTCCAGCATGATGGAGCACCGTGCTATAAGGGTTAGGAACTTTGCGAGATAGCTGTTTTTTGTTACTATTGTTTAGTTATCAGCACAATAGTCCCCCACACACTGTTCACCAGGCTGAGGGACCTGGGATTGAACAGCCGCCTGTGTGCTTGGCTGTTTGACTTCCTCACAGGCGGACAGGTGGTGCAAATGAGTAAGTCATCAACGATGATGAGACAGGTTATACTAAGAAGGTGGAGAACCTGGTATCATGGTGTCAGGAAAACTGCCTCTAACTGAACGTCAGCACGACTAAGGAGCTGGTGGTGGACTTGAGCAGCAGACAGCAGCGTCCCTATGCCCCCCTCACCATCAACAGGACTGCAGTGGGGAGGGCAAGCACCTTTAAACACCTGGGTCTTCACATCTCAGAAGAGCTGACCTGGACTGCACATATAAAAGCCCACCAGAAAGTGTCTGTGTCTCTACCACTTGAAACAGCTGAAGAAGTTTGCACACTCTATACCTTGTATATTTTCCAAATTTGTGTACAGTCTTCAGAGTGACCAGGGGTACATTTCACCACATGTTGTACTTGTATAACTATGTACGTAACAAATAAAGGAATCTTGAGTCTTGAATCAGGTGTGCAGGTGAGCTTTGTTTCAGCTCTGGTCACAGGTGTTATAACAACACACAACCTAATGTACTTCAGACCACCAATGAGTTCATAGGTCTTTAAAAGGCCTCTCACATGACTTCTCTGCTCTTATTCCTCTTACCTTTTTCTCCAGAAAGGCCAGGATCTCCCCTATTAGTTGCTCCGAAGGGGATAATCTGTACTTTTGGTAGGAAACTGCATGTTCCTTGCCCTCAAACAGTCTGTGAGCCATGAGGACGAGTTCTGCACTGGTGTGGGATGGGTGTAGACTGTACTGTAACTAGACAAGGGGTTAGACAGAAGGTGCACACCTTCAAAATGTTCCCTGAGCTCAGAGATCATGGACAAGATTTATACAATATATGTATAAACAATATATAAGGCAAATCATTGGGAATCAATAATAAGAAATATAAGCGTAGATCTTATGCATATTCCAACAAATCCAGAAATTAACATGAGAGTTGTATGGAAAAGGTCATTCAAATATTCACTATGTCTCCTCCATCAGAATAAGATTAAGAGAGATGATTTACCTGCGTCCCACAGGGGGTCCACTGGACCGTTTCAACCTGCACAGACAGGGCAGCAATCTGTGAGACCGAAGCGATGAGGGTGAGCTGGATGGAAACACCTGGTAGCTTATGACCTGGGACACATGGCTCCTCTAGTGCCCTGGAGACACCGCAAGCTGACACGTCCATGTCACTTATTAGCCAGACCCAGTCTGAGTGTGGAGGTTTAACATATTCAGCTGAATAATAGAAAGGTCAATTCTAGCTATTATATTATAAATGGAACAGTCCATTTTAATTCAACAAGTTGTTTTTGCATCACCGTTTTTTATTTTGATGAAATTTAGCATGTGAATTACACATATCTTCCAAAGCTCAGAATTTTATGTATTATTATTCTTTATCCACTTTGAGATATAGTGCCTTTTCTACACAGCACGTAGCAAATATAATTCAGTGTTTTCTTATGAGTTGGAACTTATTTACTGTTACAGCTACAGCTTTTGTATAAACAAACACCGAATGTCTTCGTTAATATATTGCACAGATTTATTTTATATTTGTTAGATAGTCTATGGTTTATATTGCAGTTGTGATAATTGAGTAATTGATAATAATAATTTAGCCATTGTAGGAGGTGAGGCAGCAAGATTGAGGCCCAGAAGTTGATTGACAGC